GTGTGTATTATATTTTAATTTTGTGAATTGTATACTTCAGATGAATAATTTATACACTGCATGGGTACTTCTCCGTAAAAGGTTGAGAATCAGTGGCATAGATCACCATACTTGAATCAGGAATAATAAAATGAAATACTATATCAATACACTATGAATGCTAGCACACTCCTTCATTGAAGCAGCTGTTTTGGACTCCTTCTGTGGGAGCATGCCAAACATCTGTGCTTTGTTATAAGGTATGGAATCTCTGTGCTTGGTAGTAGCAGCAAGTAGTTGCAGAAATGAGAATAAATTAATCAGAGAAAAGTGAGTGCAGATACATGTGTAGGTGTTAGTTACTAACTAGACAATGAGAGTGTGCATTTCGTTAGATGACGGTAAAATCAATAAATTAAGGTTTTGTGTGCATACTCTATTTACTTTGATTTTCTCTTTCTTCTGGGTTCAATCTGCTACAACAAGAACAATACATTCTCCTCTTGTCGATGGATCTGTGTAGTAAATAATTACCATATGCCTCATGAATTGGTATCTGCCAAAATGTAATAAATTCAGCCATAACTCCATAACTAAATACAGGGAGTGCAGAATTATTAGGCAAGTTGTATTTTTGAGGATTAATTTTATTATTGAACAACAACCATGTTCTCAATGAACCCAAAAAACTCATTAATATCAAAGCTGAATATTTTTGGAAGTAGTTTTTAGTTTGTTTTTAGTTATAGCTATGTTAGGGGATATCTGTGTGTGCAGGTGACTATTACTGTGCATAATTATTAGGCAACTTAACAAAAAACAAATATATACCCATTTCAATTATTTATTATTACCAGTGAAACTAATATAACATCTCAACATTCACAAATATACATTTCTGACATTCAAAAACAAAACAACAAATCAGTGACCAATATAGCCACCTTTCTTTGCAAGGACACTCAAAAGCCTGCCATCCATGGATTCTGTCAGTGTTTTGATCTGTTCACCATCAACATTGCGTGCAGCAGCAACCACAGCCTCCCAGACACTGTTCAGAGAGGCGTACTGTTTTCCCTCCTTGTAAATCTCACATTTGATGATGGACCACAGGTTCTCAATGGGGTTCAGATCAGGTGAACAAGGAGGCCATGTCATTAGATTTTCTTCTTTTATACCCTTTCTTGCCAGCCACGCTGTGGAGTACTTGGACGCGTGTGATGGAGCATTGTCCTGCATGAAAATCATGTTTTCTTGAAGGATGCAGACTTCTTCCTGTACCACTGCTTGAAGAAGGTGTCTTCCAGGAACTGGCAGTAGGACTGGGAGTTGAGCTTGACTCCATCCTCGACCCGAAAAGGCCCCACAAGCTCATCTTTGATGATACCAGCCCAAACCAGTACTCCACCTCCACCTTGCTGGCGCCTGAGTCGGACTGGAGCTCTCTGCCCTTTACCAATCCAGCCACGGGCCCATCCATCTGGCCCATCAAGACTCACTCTCATTTCATCAGTCCATAAAACATTAGAAAAATCAAAGAAAAATTAATTAATTATATAATTAATAAATTATCCAGGAATAGTAAATGCCTTAAAGATAATAATTGGTGTTGTAAAATTGTAAGTAAATTAACAAATAAAAACTGGAAAAAATAACGAAAAACAGTTATTTTCAAATTCAAGTCCAATAGTTAACAGTCTTTTTGCTAAAAAGCTATATCATAGTGGCTATAAATGAAGTAGATAAATAGTCTGTATAAGTCTATGTTTGTAAGCTAATTCAGTTCACTCCAGTTATAGATGAACTGGGATCTAGATACTGAATTAGTTATTTAGTATGGTACAATATAACAATATATATGGTCCTTATAATTGTAATATTGTATCTTGTATTGGAGAATGTATAACTAACTGACAGGCTATATGTAGTAGCCTTTAGTTATAATACTTTACTCCTAATGATAGGAGATAGAAAAATAAAATAGGATCCAAGTGCTAATATAGAGAATTATTTCAAGTGCTAATGTATTAAAAAATGTTTTATTATAAGATAAACTTGAAATAAAAATTGAAAAATAAAATATAACACTCACATTAATTTAAAGTTATGCTGAATCTGGAGCCAGAGGATGGTGTAAGCAGCTGAAAAAAATAGACTGTCCGATCTTCAGATGTAAAGTGAATGATTTTCCAGCCGCATATATTTCACCTGATTCTCCCTGTTGGTCACAAGTTTTACCGAATATGGAGCCAGAGGATGGTGTAAGCAGCTGAAAGAAAAGATAGACTGTCCGATCTTCAAATATGAAGTGTATGGTTTTCAAGCCGCGTGCGTTCCACCAGGTTCTCCGTCTGCGTTCCAGATGCAAATCAGCAGTATTGTGGTAGATGCCGGAAAGATGCCGGTAGATGCCAAAAAGCAGTGAGATGTCGTTCTGTCGTTCTGAATATCGTCCTTACGCGTTTCGTGAGGCTTAGCTCACTTCATCAGAGGATATCTGATTGAGAGTTCTTGTGGGTTTATATAGCCAGCAGAACTTCTGGCTTATGTTAACCCCTTATGGGTAATGTTAAATATAGCACTGGATTCATTCAATAATAAAGTCATACAAAAAAAATTCATTCAATAGTACAATCATATACAATAAAAGATTTTGCAATGTTTTGGAATTTGAACAAAAAAGATTATAATACATATTGGACCTATATATACTACTCATTAAAAAAGAGATAAATAACATAATATATTTTTTAAAAGATTATAAAAGATTCACATATTAAAATATATTGTCATAAAAATAATAGTATAGTTAAACAGTTCATAAGGTATTTGATACTTGATTAAAACTCATTTATTTTAAAAATTTATATTTAAAAAATTATTAATCATTTGAAGAAAAAAAAAATGTATTAATTATAAAACAGCTGTTAATTCAAAATCTACATTTAAACCATTGGGTTCTAGCGTGTCTAACTGAAATATCCATTTGGCTTCTGCTTTATCTAATTCTTTTTCTAAATCTCCTCCTCTCCATGGAATATTTATTTTTTGAATTGCCATAAAAATAAGTCCCTTAGGATTCCTTGCATGTATGAGATCAAAGTGTTTCGAAAGATTATGTGAATGGAGTCCATTTTTGATGTTTCTAATATGTTCTCCCATTCGTGTTTTAAAAGCCCTTTTAGTACGTCCCACATACATTTTATCACAGGGACATTTTAATAAATAAATTACTCCAATAGTTTTACAATTTAAGTGTGATTTTATTTTAAAAATTTCATTTGTTTGTGGGTGACTGAATTCTATAATACTTGTAGATCGATTTTGGTTATTTATACATGCTTGACATTTTTTACATTTCCAAAAGCCTGCTAGATTTTTAAGAGTGGTAGTTTTATTTTGCTTTGGTTTTTCTTGTTTTGTTGTGGGTGCTAATAATAAACCCAGATTGGGGGCTTTGGAGTGTATTATTTGAGGTTTATTACTTAATATTCGTCCTAATTGGGGATCTCCTTTGAGAATATTCCAATTTTTTTGTAGAATATTTCTAATTTGATGGGTATGACTATTATATCTTGTTATAAAAGTGGGAGCTTCCAAATTAGATGAATCTTTATGTGTCTTAGTTGTCAAAATATGGTTTCTAGATAGAAGGGAGGTCTTGGTTAGAGCTTGATTTAGAATTTTACTTGAATAACCTTTTGCTTGGAATTGTGCTGTCATCATTTTAATTTGTTCGACACATACTTTGGGTTCAGAACAATTTCTTTTTATTCTTCTAAACTGGCTAAACGGAATATTGTTTAGCCATGTTCTTTTATGAAAACTATTATGAGGGATAAAACTGTTACATGCTACTGTTTTTCTAAAAGTTTTGGTTTCCAATTTGTTATTCTGAATATAAATTTCAAGATCTAAAAACTCAAGTTTTTCTGTGGATTGGTTAAAAGTAAATTTTAAATTATAAGGGTTAAAATTTAAATATTCCTTAAAATTTTCCAACAATTCCATATTTCCCTTCCAGATAAAAATACAATCATCTATATAGCGATGCCATGAGACCAGATTTGCGCCAAATGGGTTATTCGACCAGATTTGTTCGTCTTCCCATTTTCCCATAAATAAATTTGCATAACTGGGCGCAAATCTGGTACCCATGGCAGTGCCCTCGATTTGTAGATAATAGTGATTGTTGGCCCAAAAAAAATTATGACTAAGAATAAAGGCTACACATTTTACAATATACTCAATTTGATCATTCTTAAGATCTGAAAAAGTGGCAAGTGCATATTGAATGGCTTCACATCCCTGTAAATGTTCAATAACTGTGTATAGGGATGTGACATCTGCTGTTACTAGAATATATTGTGAATCCCATTCTATACTTGATAAAAAGTTGATAATGTGAGTAGTATCTCTTAGGTAAGACCGTAGTTTAGAAAAATCAGTCTTGAGATATTTCTTGGCCCAGTCTTGACGTTTCAGCTTGTGTGTCTTGTTCAGTGGTGGTCGTCTTTCAGCCTTTCTTACCTTGGCCATGTCTCTGAGTATTGCACACCTTGTGCTTTTGGGCACTCCAGTGATGTTGCAGCTCTGAAATATGGCCAAACTGGTGGCAAGTGGCATCGTGGCAGCTGCACGCTTGACTTTTCTCAGTTCATGGGCAGTTATTTTGTGCCTTGGTTTTTCCACACGCTTCTTGCGACCCTGTTGACTATTTTGAATGAAACGCTTGATTGTTCGATGATCACGCTTCAGAAGCTTTGCAATTTTAAGAGTGCTGCATCCCTCTGCAAGATATCTCACTATTTTTTGACTTTTCTGAGCCTGTCAAGTCCTTCTTTTGACCCATTTTGCCAAAGGAAAGGAAGTTGCCTAATAATTATGCACACCTGATATAGGGTGTTGATGTCATTAGACCACACCCCTTCTCATTACAGAGATGCACATCACCTAATATGCTCAATTGGTAGTAGGCTTTCGAGCCTATACAGCTTGGAGTAAGACAACATGCATAAAGAGGATGATGTGGTCAAAATACTCATTTGCCTAATAATTCTGCACTCCCTGTATTTATTTGACATTACCAAAGATGACCTCTTCAGGGTACTCTAACTTTAAAAAGTGATAACATTTTTAATAAATCCGATAAAAGCTTGTTTAAAAGATGTGGAAATCTCTGACATAGTTGTTACCTAGGGATTATCAGGCCTAGGTTTAAATGGTAACAGGATTCTGTTCTCTATAATATTAGGGCGAAAGTGTGTAAGTATGTAATATTGGGTGCAAGGTAAATATGTAATATTGGAGGAAAAAGTTCTTAGTACAAAAACAAGACCATGGAACTAAATAATTAATTTGTAGACTTGCTCTTACAAAAGAACACATATAAATATGAAACAGGGGGCTGCACTCACCTGAACATGTATAAATGGGGAGCTGCTTGGGCCAATAAATGCAATACACAAGATCCAGTGCACTCACTCAGGTTGCTAGGATAGAACCTGTCAAGAACGGGGCACATTGGTGTAGTGGCAGGCTTTTGCAATGTATGACTAAATCCCCATTATTTCAGGTGTTTTAAAAACTATGATGTTTTGTGAGCTTTAAAGTTGGTGATAGCAAGTTTTTAAGTCTGCTGAATGTTGTATTAATTGGCCTCAGCATCACCCTAATAATTGATGCAAGTTCAGGTGAGTTCCGCCCTCTTCAGTTTAAATGTAATGAATTTATAATAGAGAATTATATATTTCAGTTGATCTGTGGTAATTATCTCTAATGATTAATAATGATACAACTTCTACTTAAAACACCTGACATTGCAAAATTTATCTCCAAGGGCGGAAGGCAAGTGTCACAGTTTGCCGCACAAAGTCCTCTGAGCGAAGGCACACTATGAAAGCAACATGTAGATACATACTCTTCCTGGTGTCCGCCTTTTCTGGTTTTTAAAGAGTATTTCATTAATTTCATCTTGATTAAATGTAACCAGTTACATTCTAAAAAGTCCCAGCAGAACATCACTGAAAATGTTTGTATAACAACAGTTGAGAAAATGAAAAACTTATAAACATCTTAAATAATACAAAATAGTAAAGTGCAACAGTCCAGCAAATGTTGAGGTTGAGAAAGCACCAGGTCCGGTACAATATGCATCCAGGGCTTTATTTACCGTTTTTTGAGGGTCATCTTCCTAGGTGGTCTCTCCTCTGAACAGCAGCTGCAGGTAGCTCAGTCACTTGGGATTTATATTTTTTTTCTTTGGATACTGTGTTATCTTACACATTCAATACAATTTTATGCATTTTCATTTTTCCTAATAAATGTGCTACTTTTTCATGACTTTTTTCATCTTTGGATTGTTTTGAATTATGCATGTGTGCGTATCGTTGTGATTTTTTCTGGTTATATTAGTGCAGCAAATTATCTGCCATATTTGTATAGAATCACAGTTCTTTTAAAAAAATATATAAATTAATTGAAACATTTTGCAACTAACCAATATGCAACCAATACTACTTAAAACATTTTTTTTCCCTTTTATTAGTTGAATGGTATATATTAAAAAAAATAAGATAAAGCAGAATTAGAAAAAAAGAGACCAAGAAAAAAGGACTTTTAAAAATGGTGCAGTTCATATTCTGTTTTTAAACAATTAGGTGACTGTGTCTGAAGTTAAAACAAACTCCTGGTCATTTATTTTACCAGCAATAACAGCACTTAATGTACGTTTTCTCTTATTAAATATTCCTGTGAAAAGCTACTTTGGAGTGCCCTGTATGTGGCCACTTATTGTGCCCTAAAAACAACTCTGGATAGCATTGGTTGGAGTTACCTCCCATGCCTTATTCTATTGTTGATTATTTACTCGCTTTACGCCATGGGTGCCCAAAAGGTAGATCCCCAGATGTTTTAAAACTACAGCGTCTATGATGCTTTTAAGCAGCTTTGATTGTATTCACTTCTTTTGCTATAAAAACAGTGTGGGCCATCTGCAAAATGAAAATCAGGTAAATAGTGTTATAATTACCCTCTGGTAATGTCAGCAAGCATGCAGAAGCACTGGACAGCAAATGCTCTGAACAATGCCATGCTCCTCCAAGCTAATGCTGCTATCAGGAGCAGTTGATGGCAGGATCAAGTTTTACTCAGGAAGACAACCGCTAGGTTTGCTTAAAGGACCAATATAGTGCCAGGAAGACACCCTCAGGGTCCCACTCCCGTGGCGCTGAAGGGGGAGGAAGGGGTTAATCCCTTACCTTTTTTCCAGCGCCGGGCTCCCTCGGCGCTGGGACTCTCCTCCCTCTTCTTCCGTCATCAGCTGAATGCGCATGCGCGGCAAGAGCCGCGCGCGCATTCAGCCAGTCTCATAGGAAAGCATTCTCAATGCTTACCTATGGACGCTGGCGTCTTCTCACTGAGGAGATGAGACAGCCACTAGAGGCTGGATTAACCCATAGGTAAACATAGCAGTTTCAGAGCTGCTATGTTTACTGCAAAAAGGGTTAAACCTAGCTCAAAGTGGTTTGGGTGCCTATAGTGGTCCTTTAACCGTGCAATGTAAACATTGCCGTTTTTACAAAGCGGCAATGCTTTACATAAAGGTTCAAGACCACTCACTTCTATACTCACATTTGTGTAATAGCACATTAGAAAGGTGAGGTATTACATACATAGACCAATGGGAGGCGGATTTAGGAGAGACGTTGGAGGGAGTGGAATGGCAGGAAATATGGGAAGCAGCCGCGCAGTCCTCTATGTGTGTCTCATTACAGGAACAATCATATAAGACGCTATTTCGATGGTATGCTAAGCCGGTAAAGTTAAGCCGTATAAATCATCTTACGACAGACTTATGCTGGCAGGGGTGCGGTCTCAAGGGCACGTATATCCACATGTGGTGGGAATGCCCGATCACAAAAGTTTATTGGCAACAAATTGCGCAGTTGCTAGACCCATGGGTATTTTAGGTTAGGTTAAGCTAGACCCATGGGTATTTTTGTTAGCTAGATCTATAGAAAACTGGACGAAATCATAACTGACCCTATTACATAAGGTGAACCTAGCCGCTAGGAGAGCTTTGGCAGAGGTATGGTTGCGAAGAGAGGCCCCAGAAATGGCCGTGGTGATTCAGAAAATTAAAGATAATTATTTGATGGATGACCTAACAGCCCGGGTTCGGGGTACGATGAAAAAGTTTGAAAAAGTTTGGGGCCCTTGGGTAGCTAGTGCAGCAAGTGCGTGATGTACACACGAGCGAGACTCCCTTGGGCAAGCTTGGATGGAGTGGATGTAAGTTAGACTGGATTCCTCCGCGCTCCCCCTCCACTTACTTCTTCCTCTTACTTCTCCATTTCCCTTTCCCTTTCCCTGTACTATCTCTTTCTATCTTCACACGTACCCCTCTTATATCTTTATTCTTCTATTACTTTTGTCTGAGATAATTATATACAACTGACCTAACATTGCCTTACAATGTGTAAACAACTGGCACTGCTAAAGGATGTGGTCAGACGATAATAGGTGCAAAAGGATAATAATTCGATAGAGCTAGAGAAAAAGACATATGGGGCCCGTGCATAATCGCAGGGGAATGGATGGAGCATGTTCTATTGACAAAATAAATGTTTGTTTGACGGTCTTAGCCTTGTTATGTTTTTTATATTTTTTTTGTGTAAAACAAAAATCTACCAGGGGGGACAGAGATACAGTGCTGTAATGTATGATAGATACACTTCATGTTACTATGTTGCAGTAAGGGGGTGCAAAGATTGTTAGCTCACTGTTATTGCAAATACGATACAATACTGTTTTGCACGGTGTAACAATATATCACAATGTTTTGATGCATCATGTTCTCAGTGTAATGTTCTGCCTTGGAATAAATAAAGAATTAAAAAAAAAAAAAAGTATAAGACCACTGCACCCAGACTACTTTATTTCGGTCTGGGTGAATTTAGTGGTCCTTTAAAATCTAGATGCAGTGACTACATGAAATAACTAAGCACAGCTATTGGCAACTGAGAATAGAATAGTATTGGAGTAAACAAGCCGTTTTAGATATATCCCTAATAAAAAAAATCATAGTTACATGTTTACATATTTTCACTGGCGGTATATCTATTAAACAGTGATTTTTATTTATTATGTATCTTAAGACACATTGTTTTCAGCCTATCTCCTAAAATTTCAAAAATAAAATAATGCAATATGATAGCATGGACCATCAGTAAACCATATAACTCCCAAGCTGACGCCGGTATAAGAATCCTCATTAAATCAGTATGAGTATATCTCATTTTTAACAGAAAAAAACACCTATACAAAAAGAAATGGAAAATGCTGTATCTAATAATAAAAAGAGTACTACCCAAGTTCAGTTGAATAATGCATGCTTCCTATTTAGCCACCACATTGAAAGCAAAAACAAAATGCCTGTGGGAATCAATATGGCCTACATATTACTATTTGTTGTGGGCTAAGGGAATACTAAACAGTGAGCAATCAGCAGCTGTCCACAGCTATTACACCTATCAACTCTGCAGCTATTGCTGATAAGGCCCCACCCCATGGCCCCCTAAATCTTAATATGGGGGGGGGGGTAACTTTCTAACATAATATAGTACTGAGGGGGCTACTTATAGTAAACATTTATTTTTATTCAAATTAATCAAATGCAAACAAACAAACAGCATTGACAAGAACAATACAGGAATAAAAATAGTGGCATAACGGCAAGCAGTTATGTAGTTGGTCTGCCGCATCCTGATTCAGTTTGAGGTTTTTAGTGGATTACTCTATCTACCTACATTTACATTACAAACGTTACAAACCTGAGCAGTAATAACTGTTCTTCACAACTTGTATATGTATATGTTATCACATGCTTTACAAACTATTTAAACAATGTATACCAAAATTCAAAAAATCAAAGATTCCATTGTATTCTGTCTGTCACTTACATTGATAAGGTTTTTCTTGACTATTTCAGCACAGACTGTTGTCTCATGGGATGTCTGAAGGAATCACATGATCTGCTACTGATGTCACTGCATGCATAAACTTCTAGGTTAATCGCAGTCTGCTCCGATGGGCTGGTTTGGTTGCCCTGGGTACAGCGGCAGCCCCGGCAGTTTGTGACTTCAGATTGCCATTGACTGTAAGTGTGACAGTAAAACTAAACTACAACAATGGCACTTAAATATCTGTGTTATTAGTCATTGATAATGTAGTATACGTATGCCTAAAACCATGAAAAGGATACTCCAGACCCCTAAAGCACATCAGCTTGCTGAAATGCTTTATCGCTAAGGCAGAGAAAATGTTTTTTTTTAATTGTAAGAACAATAAGGATGTGGAATTCTCTGCCTGAAGAAGTGGTTTTATCAGAGTCCAAACAGCAACTAGATGCATACTTGCAAAAAACAGAATATTCAAGTATATAATTTTTCAATGTAGGGTAATGGCTTCTTGATCCAATGATTAATCTGACTGCCATTCTGGGGTCAAAAAGGATTTTTTCCCCTAGTTTGTTGCAAATTTTCTTTTGGATCAACAGCAAAAAACAAATGTAATAAAGGCTGAACTTGATGGACACAAGTCTCTTTTCAACTATGTAACTATGTATCTATGTAATGTGTGAAGAGTGTGGGCTCTATTTTCCATTTAACAAAAAGTGAAGATTTCAATAGAAATTGACACTTTTGTAAATTAATCTTGTTACACCCCCCTAGCTGTCCATCAAACAACAGGTCCTGTTACTTCCTGGTTTGGATAGCTCAGTGGAGCTAAAATCAAGAGGCAGCAATTGCCCAGTGTCAGGAATAGAGTGACACCCAACAGGCAGAGTGTAATAATTAGAAAGGATAAACATATACCGGACTTAACAGTGGCTAATGTACAAAAGGACAGAGAATAGTCAGGACAAGACGTAGTCAGGGAAGCCAAAAATAGCGATACAACAATAGCCAAGTCAAAGAATAGAAGGTAAAATAGTCAAAAAAAGCCAAAGTTAGAACCATAATAATACACAGGATATGTAACACACTATTGGAAACAAAACTTGAACCACAGCAGGGCAATGACCTATGCCCAATGAACCCTTTTTATAATGTGTGACTTTAACTTGATAGCCACGCCCCCTGAATACACCATCTATAATAATTGGAAAACCCTATAAATCTTTGTATTGCCTTAAGTGCACTGGCCAAAGGCCATTGGACTACAGATTCTAGTATAGTAGGACGCATAGCGAAACCACTTCCTGATATAATGTATTCATGGAAACTGATGTGCAATATAAGCAATTTTGTAATAGTCTGGTCAGTACCTTTTTTTTTACATATTTATGATGTGTCTCTTTGTCCTTGGAATACATCAAGATATCTAGATATGCTATAACACAGTCTCTTAATACATCATTAATCAAATCTTGGAAGACAGCCAAGAGACATCACAGTGTACGTAGTGTCTGTATCGGATGTTAAAGGAATGCTATAAGGTCAGGAATTTTAATTTGTATTACTGACGCTATAGTGTGAAAAACACTATTTAGCTCTCCTGGCCCCCCTGTATCCCTGTTAAATATAGTAAAATCTCACTCTACTTCCAGCGCCGCGCAGGTCTGCCGGCGCTGGCTCTGCCTTGTTCCACCTCCTTGGCTGACTATCAGAATTGATAATCTCAGCCGATCACAATGTTTTCCCATAAAATTAGGCTGGAAGGGAGGTTTCTACCCTAGAGACTCTAGCATGCTTAAGTTATGGGCTGCAGTCTCATGCTATTCTTCCTCTAATTTAAAGCCCTTAACCCCATTTTCTTAAAAACAGCCCCTCCTAATCCTGGCTGTGGCTGCAGTGGAAGGACAGGGGCAGTATTGAGAATAAATAGAGTTTATAGTGGGAGGAATGGGGGGTGGTAGTGGCTGTAGTCAGAAGGACATAAGCTGCAATAGGAGGACAGTGGCTGTATTGGGGGGCCAGTGCTATATTGGGGGACAGGGGCTGTGGTGAGGGGAAAGGGGCTGTAGTGGGGGGCAATGCTTCCCACAGCAAACAAAATGGAAAAACACATCATCCAGCATTAGCATACTTTGCATGCTGGCACCAAATGTCAGATAGATCCAGCGCCGCGCCCCACCCCCTGTGGATGTCAATCTGTCAGCTACTAGTAGGTGTGGAAAATGAAAAATGTAATTGTTGTTTCTCAGAAATGGCACTGTTTTCATTTGCAAGACTGGAGGAAAGTGCTGAAATGATGAAATAAGTTGGTACTTTAGCTCATTTAAATGCCTGAAATAATATTTTGTGAATATCTTTTCATAGTACATGTTAATAACACTGTACCATACTTAAATGAAAGGGCATCTTTGTTTGTGTGTATAATTTTCTTTCAGTAGAGGCAGATGAAATAAATGTTCTGTCTAATTTTTGCTCAATTTCATATATACACCCCTCACATTTTTGTAAATATTTTATTATATCTTTTCATGTGACAACAATGAAAAAATGACAGAGCTGCATTTATTTATTTATTTGTTTATTTTAAAAGAGACACTTTTACTGTGTATATTTTATATTACTGGGACAAGATTCTAGTACTCTTTTCTGCGGCGCAGCCCTTCTCTATCTGTTTTTTTTTTTTTTGTAAGGACATGGATTATTGGAACCATGTCCTGTGGTCCGATGAGACCAAGATGAACTTATTTGGTTCAGATGATGTCAACCAGGTGAGTAGTGCAAACACAAGTGTGTCTTGCCAACAGTCAAGCATGGTGGTGGGAATGTCATGGTCTGGGCCTGCATGAGTGCTGCCGGCACTGGGGAACTACAGTTCATTGAGGGAACCATGAATGCCAACATGTACTGTGGTATACTGAAGAAGAGCATGATCCGCTCCCTTCAGAGACTGGGCCGGAGGGCCTTATTCCAACATGATAATGACCCCAAATACAACTCCAAGAAGTCCACCGCCTTGCTAAAGAAGCTGAAGCTGAAGGTAAAGGTGATAGACAGGTCAAGCATGTCTCCAGACCTAAACCCTATTGAGCATCTAAAGGGCATCCTCAAATGGAAAGTGGGGGAGCGCAAGGTCTCTAACATCCACCAGCTCTGTGATGTCTGTATGGAGGAGTGGAAGAGGACTCCAGTGGCAACCTGTGAAGCTCTGGTGAACTCCATGCCCATGAGGGTTAAAATAATGTTGGCCACACAAAATATTGACACTTTGGGCCCAGTTTGGACATTTCCACTTAGGGGTGTACTCACATTTATTGCCAATGGTTTAGACATTAATGGCTGTGTCTTGAGTTATTTTGAGTGGACAGCAAATTTACACTGTTGTACAGGCTGTACACTTACTACTTTACATTGTAGCAGAGTGTCATTTCTTCAGTGTTGTCACATGAAAAGATATAATAAAATATTTACAAAAATGTGAGGGGTGTACTCACTTTTGTGAGAATATAGATATATATGTATATATATAATACACAAGATCCAGCACACTCACCTATCCACTAAACAGCAACTTCAATGTTGACAAATGCTATTAGTTTTTTAAAAAACACCTAATCTAGGCAAAAATAATGGGGGTTTAGTTACATTATACGATCATACATTGTATAAGCCTGCCACAACGTAAATTTTCCCCTATCTTTGGCAGGTCCTACTCTAACAGCCTGAGTGCAGCCTCCCCCCCCTGTTTTATATATATATATATATATATATATATATACACACACACACACACACATACACATACTGATTTATTAAAACAACAATGCAGTTTATTCTTAAAGTGCAAGAGTATACTAAGCATTAGAAATGTAGAAGGGTTAATTGAGAATGTTCAGGATCTCTCATTTGTTCTTTACTGAATCATTGTTATTATAAACAAAACAAAAGGGCCAATTCAAGTTGTAACTAATTCAGCATTGTTCCAGGAAAATACACCCACGGTGGGCAAGAAACTATGAATGAGAAGTAATTGGGCCTGAAACAAACATCATACTACTTTGGTAATTCTGAATGTACAAGAATGCAGTATGGCAAAAAGTTAAGCGCCCATGTAACCTCGCATTTAGTTTTTCTAGCAGTAAGAATGCTTCACAATACAGTACGTGTAAAGGTTTGCACACCTGTGTACACAAATAAGTTAGTGTACTCAGTCTGACTGAATACACAAGAAAAAAAGAAATATTTCAAGCCCAAAACACTCACCATGTAGATAACATGCCTAGCATGTATTTAATCTATTCTTCATTGATTTGAGATACATGGCTCAATTGAGATACTTTAGCTCAATAGGTAAACAGCATCTGCAGAGTCCCCTAGACATTTAGTAAGATTGTCCCAAGCAACATGGTCACAATTTCATGACATCCTCCATGCAACAACAGAACACAACTATGACTATGCTTGGTGCTCAATGTATTCACAATGCAGAAAACGTAAGTTTACACATCTTTTAAATACACTCGGAGGGGGGCCTGGGACCTTACCTGCTACTCCAGCACCATAGTGTTAGGAATACATGTTTGTATTCCTATCACTAAAGTGTTCCTTTAAATTCTCACTTTAGTAAATAACCCTGACAGTGTTCAAAGGATGTTAACTCCCTTACTCCTTAACCATTAGGGCATCTGGATGCAGGCCATGGCGAGGAGTCCAAATGGACAGATTCTTAAAGAGAAAAAAAAACTCATCAGTATGTCTATCATTAATAAGGTAATGGCTGCTGCTGCTCCTCTGGCTGAGATCATTAGTCATGATGGGGGCGTTACTGCCCATGCGCAGCAATCACCGCTCTGCACCAATCAGCATATCATCACTGGGGGGACAAAGAGACATGTAGAGAGGCTGGGGGGACCAAGAGACACACAGATAGGCTTGGGGGGACAAAGAGATACACAGTGGGGCTGAGTGACAAAAAGACACAGAGAATGGCTGGGGGGCAAAGAGAAACACAAAGGGGCTGGGGGGAAAGAGACACAGCTGATATGACAGCAGTTTCAAGTTTTATGCTTTTAATTTTTTCTAAAAATCTGTTTTTAAAAATCATAGCTGGCATTTATTTATTTTTTGTGAGGGGGGAGGAGGGGCAAGTAGCTGGTCTTGCCTAGGCTGCATTATAGTCTGCCACTGGCCATAGCATCTGGCTGTCATAGTCTTATTCATAGTTACTTAACAGTGACTTTTTGAGAAAGAAAAAACATTTAAAAAAATACAAATAAAAGCAGTGTTTACAATTCAGAGAATGCAGGGACAGTGATGCAGGGAGATGGAATATGACGTCAATCCAGCGCCCATAATCACTAATGGGCACTCGAGGAAGCTGCACAGGAAGATCACAGCTGCCTATTTTGCACACCCACCCGCCCCCTTGCCTGTCTGCCCTTCATCATGCATACCTGCCTGCCCAGCAGCCAGCCCAGCTCTCCCAAAGTTAGGGAGACTGGGTGGATTTAAACTAAAATAAAAGTAAACAATTATTTGTGAATAGGGGAAATGTGTGTGTGTGTGTGTTTATGTCAGTGCATGTGTGTGTGTGTTTGTCAGTGAATGTGTTGTTATAACTGTCAGTGTGAGTGTGTCTGTCAGTGAGTTTGTTTGTCTATCAATGAATATGTGTGTGTATATGTCTGTCTGTTTGTATGTGTCTGTCAATGTGTATGTGTATGTATGTCAGTGTATGTGTGTGTCAGTGAGTGTGTGTGTGTTTGTCTGTCAGTGAATGTGTGTATGTGTTTGTCTGTGAATGTGTGTTTATATCTGTCAGTGTGTCTGTCAGTGAGTTTGTCAGTGAATGTGTGTTTCTGTCAGTGAGTTTGTGTGTGTCTGTCAGTGAATGTGTGTGTACGTCTGTCAATGTGTGTGCCTGTCAGTGAATGTGTGTATGTCTATCAGTGGGTGCCTGTGAGTGTGTGTGTGTCACGACAGTGACCAAAGTCACAACAATGACCCCTTCACACAGCGTGAAACCCACAGAAAGACGGTTACCGGACCTTAGAATGGCCGGACTAGCGTCTGAGAATAGTCAAGAGAAATAGCCAGAGGTCAAGGGAATACGGAAGACGGGCACACGATTATCCAAGCCAAGTGACGGGAAACCAGAAAACAGAATAGTCAGAGAGAGTTAGCCAAGGGTCAATTACCAGGAAGGACAATAAGAAAAGATAGCACCAGGGGACTTAAACAAGAACCACACTAGGGCATCTGACAAGTGTCATGATAGCCCTTTTATAGTGTGGGTTCTTTGGCTTTAATTCCGTAGCCACGCCCCCAAAAAGTCCGGGAGCGTGGCCACGTTTGAATTTTGGCGCCATTTTCGGTCTGACGTCGGCGCGCATGCGCCGCGTCATAAATGTGGGCGTGTTCCAAGCGGCCGGCGTCAGAATCGCTGAGCCACCCCCCGGAAGGATCGGAGGAGGACCCGGCGCTGCGCGGGACCGGCGGGGAAAGGTAAGCGCTTGTTACAGTGTGTATGTCT